GGGCCGTATTAATAGTGTTTTTCTTTATCAGTCTTGAGGAAGTAAATTAAGGATTTTGGAGTATGGTAAACATTTACATGAACACTCACAATGCATTGTCAAGAATAAGACGATTGAAACTTTTACAATAGCTTGTGTTGTGATAGGTTGTTTTTTTTTGTTTGTCCACAGCAAAAACTTTTATCTGTGAGACGCAATGTAGTTTGGCTTTACTTTGAATGAACTGATACAGAAATTGTGAAATACAGTAGCTAATATGTTGACTGATATTTTAAATTGACATTGTTTTACATGTTTTTACTATGCACTTTAATTAAATCAGCCATGAAAATGTTTTAATGAATTATAGAAAAAATAACCATTACATATGAAACCAATATTAGAATAATAAAAATAAAAGACTAATTATGGCCGATATGGTCATCAATTTGTTCTGCATCTCTGTTGGCTTTTTCACCACATTTGGTCATTTGAGTCAGTAGTCCATACTCCAGAGGTCTGTTTATCATGTTCCTATTCACCATTTGCTTGCTGATACGTAAAAGGACCTCACACATGACATTAGACTTGATGGTCTGGTCTGATAAGCTTGAGGAACAGGAGCTCACCATATCATCGTAATACCAACTTGCTTTTGCTTTGCTCTGGACCCGGGTGTATAGACGAGCACTGTTTTTGTGATTCCACCGCTCCCACCGAATTCCTATAAAAGCTGTGGATTTTACCATGCGGTGTTACCTTTGTCTCCCTACAGTCCTGTGTAGTGTTGCTTTCGTCTACGAAAATTATGACTAAATATCGTCGTTAACAAACCTTTATCACGCAATGTAAATGCTGGTCATGTGACGATGACTATAATTAAATGTATAATGCAATATCGTTGATGAATAAAAACGAGACTAAATGTGGTTTACAAAATAAAAACTATGCTAAAATGTCTATTCATTTTCGTTGACTAAAACGAGACGAAACTAAATGTTAAAACGTTATTTCGTCTCGTTTAGTAGCGTTATTATTATTATTTTGCAGTATTTCTGATTCCTGTGTCTCCCTTCAGGGGCTGCATCAGGTCGCACTGCGCGGACGCAGGCGACGTCACTTCCTCAAGCCCCACTCACGGCATTATTTAGAAGACGACGACAAACAAGTTAAGTCTGACACAGAGAAAGGGAGCGATGGAAAGCCATCCGGGGTTCGTCTTTATTTAAATTTATGTGTGTGTACTTCTAACATGTTTGGTTGGTAAAATAAATGTTGTAAATTCAAATCAGAGCGTCTTCCGTGGCTGGAATGGATGTATTCTTGAGTCTCAAAGGTAACAATAATATAATAAGATAACCTTGTTTGAAATGGGTTTGGCTAAAATAAAATTTTGGTTTCGTCTATGCTACTAGGTACTTATACTATATTGACTGGGTTAAATAGAATTGCATTACTAAAAAGAGACTAAAAGTCATCAGTTTTCGTCGACTAAAACTAGACTAAAATAGTCATGGATAATTCTGACTAAAATAAGACTAAAATGCTCAGACTTTTAGTTGACTGAAACTTGACTAGACTAAAAAGAGTATGAACATGACTAAAACTAATAAAAACTAAAATGACAGTTTCACACAAAAACTAGACTAAAACTAAAATTAAAACAGGCCGCCAAAAACAACACTAGTCCTGTGTACCACCGTTTAGATGTGTTTTCCTGGGATTGAGGCCCATGGGAATAGCTCTGCCCCTGCCGTAGATCTGATAGCCAAGCTGGTTATTGTTGTGTTGTTCCTCTTAGAGATGTGTTTCCATTAACCAGAGGTGCTGCTCAGCTGAGAGAGTTAGCGGAGTACACACAGACAGGAAAATGTCCGATTCATCTCCCATTACAGACAGCAGAGTTAGCTGAGCGCAGAGGGAGAGGGGCTTCTGGAGGAGGGGGTGGAGCTAAGAGGTAGAAGGGGCGGGGCCACTGAAGAGGGCTGATCTATTTTTCCTATTTGGACTTGAGAAGGTTCATTGAGTTCAGACTGAGTCATCAGCACATTGCAGATCTCTCACTCTCAAACCTTCTAGCGCAGAGGAAATATTCTATAGAGCCATGATTCTTCCTTCAGGTGTTTGCATATAGGTTTCATGAGGGGACTTTGAAATGAGCCAAATTTTCAGTGTTTAGCGAGTGGGAAATATTCATACGCAACAGTGTTGTTACTCTTAACTGAAACTATTAAAAATCTGTCATTGAAATTAAACTGATATAAAATTAAATATAAATGTTAGATGAGGAATCTATAAATGAAAATTAGAAACATTGCTTTGGCAGCTAACTGAAATAAGTTTTAAGTATTTGAAATTAAAGCTAATAAAAATGAAAAAAGCGCAAAAAGTCCTTTCCAGACTTTCTAAGCACTGCAGTTTAGTGTTGATCACTTTTTTTCACACCTCTTGACAGACATGGTTTTCTTAATTTTAAAAAAAAATTGTGTGGTTTATAACTATTGCATTGTTACTTCACATGATTGTTTATACAAATAGCATATTATTTGAATGTGCTAAGATGAAATGTTTTAATTATATTTACTTTGTCTAATTATACATTACATCATCCTTTTACTCTCATCTGAGGGCTAACATTCATTTCATGCTCTTAGGTCTCTTTCTTTATGAATATGATTAGCCAAACTGAAAAACTAGGTCTGTGGAGCTTGTAATATTCTTCAGTTGTTACTCCTTGACCTCCTGCCAACATTTCTGCTTCATGAGCATATCAGTTGTAGTATTAAAATGAATATCATTTGCTTTCCCCATGCATTCCCAGAAAGCCTGGAAATACGAGCGTTCAAGTTTATGCAGGTCTTATCATAGTTTAAATAGTCAGAATGATGCTTTGGCCGTTAACATTTGCAATGCAAATCTCCTCTTATACTGACTTCTCATATTAATGGCTACTATTGATTTTCATATCAACTGTTTCTAGTTTACAGATTCATCAAAAACAGTTTGTGGTTTCCTATTGTGTCCTCTTGTGTACAGTGTAGAGTTGAACCCGGATCACAGCTTACATCCATAAACATCCGGGTTATAGACCGTCTTTCTGAATGAATCACTATGCTAATGCCAAACACATGTTTTTTATGGCTCACAATTACTTGGAAGGGAAATATTAACTAGAGACTGTCCCTCAAACACGCATATCAATTATGCCTTGTTAAAGAACTGAACTGGCAGAATTCACACCACCGCTTGACCGCCTGCCTGATATGGATAGTGAGCTCATTGTTTTCATAATTCTTCCATAACAATGTACCGTGTTCATATTTTCCTAAAGCAAGAGGACTCCTCACCCTGACTCACGTGTGCTCAATGCGGTTGGCATCGCAGATTTCTGCTGATTCAATTGTTTTGGCTGGTTGATGTTTCCCCTTTTATCGTTTTGCTGTTACATCCCATTGTCTGATGTGATGGGGCCGGAAAAAGAACATGTTGCTCTTATGTAAGGAATTGAAACTTGGAATAGAAAGGATTGTGTGTGCCTTTCATATGTAAATGCATGTAAAACATTTTGCAAGGCATTTTTCTTTCAAGATGTTGACAGTGACTATTTATTATATTTATTGGGATATATTGTTGAAGAAACGAGTTAAATAAATAGAATAAAAGAGTAGTATTTTTATCACCATCAGTAAACCTATGGCAATGTGAGTCTGGTTTTCACTTTGGGATTGAAGAGTCTTTGAAAGTTTAGCCGCTGGTCTGTGCGCGTGTTTCAATGTGGCTTTTCTGTAAAGGGGACATAACACACACACAGTTTCTGCCAGTCTCATGTTAATTTTGAGTAGAGGTCGACCGATAGTGGATTTTGCTGATACCGATAGCTAGGTTGGACCACACTGGCCGATACCGATTAATTAACCGATTGTTTTAAAATTGATACTGAACAAAAACTAAAATAGTGCTTTATTAACAAAAACAGTACTGAACCATACTAGTAGTAGTAAAAAAAATAATAATAGTAATAGTAAATGTTGAAATTAACACACACTAACAAGGAACAATACTTACACAGCTTTCATTAATCTTAATGCTACAAATGGACTCTTATTTTAAAGTGTTTCCATTTCATTTCCACTGTCGTGCTTAAAGATGCACATCTTTAAGTATATACACAAAGGCTATAGCATTAAAATTATATACATATGGATATTGTATGTATACACTCAGACTTTAACTGCTTCTATTCTTGAACACTTGATGATTATCTAATCAAAATAAAAGTGCAGCACTGAGTCTAGGAGAACTCACCGGTATCACACACACTCCGGACGCGTCGCGTTCAACTCGAGCAGCGGTCTAAATCAGTTTATTTAATCACCAAACAGACACAAGTTTACTTCAAGAATGAACAATTTGGCATAGATGAGTTTGAAGTTCGGTGTTTAAAAAATGGAGCAAACGGAAAGAGAAAGCGCGACCTATATTATAGCTCTATAAATGAAGCACACAGAGTTTATTAGAGCCACAGAAAGACAAATGTTTTGCTGAAAATGCACAATACACAATTCATTATGTACATTCACAACGATTCAGGACCAATGTAATTTAAAGGAAAACTATGTGAATGGCGCTCTGTGGCGCGGCAGGATTTTCTGTCGGCTGCATTTAAATCCGCGTCTGAAGTTTCCCGCTCTGTTCAGCGTGCAGTATGATGCGTCTAAACAAATAGCACGTGCTGTCAGTGATTTCAACCACTAGAGGCTGCTCTCGCACTGTATAATGACAGCAGACCCTTCTCAGCCGCTCCAGCAGTGGACGCAACCCAGAAAACTATCGGCATGGATTTTTGCTGATAACCGATAGTTACAGCAATCAACTATCGGTGCCGATTAATCTGTAAAACTGATACATCGGTCGTCCTCTAATCTCGAGTACCTTTAGAGTAGTATTGCATCCTTCATATCTTCGAAGAATCTTTAGTTTGATCAGATTTATAAAAAACAGATGCAGCTTTACGCTTCTCTCCGAAAACAGTCGAGCTCCTGGAGGCGTGTAGTGGGCAGAGCTAAAGAGTCACGAGCACGCAAAGCTTTTCCGTAGCGATCGTCTGGAAGCTGTGACATTGACATAAATAAAACAGGAAACGTTATTGACTTAAATGTTATTAAATTTGTTTATAAAACATTAATCACCTAAATGCCAGTAACAAATGAACACACTTGCACAAGTCCTGTGCACTGGTGGCGATGACTTCCATAACCCGAATGAAGCACGTTGATGGGTGTGCTCTCGCACTGGTTGAAGTGTGCGCACACTCTTCCAGGAGAAGGGCCCATACAAGGAATTCTGACCTTTATGACATCATACAGGGCCATACTCAAAAAAAACTTTCCGAAACTTGAAGGACGAACCCTGAAGGAGTGTATTTGGCACAGAAATTCTCCGTCATACGTCCATCTTGTTTTTTTAAACTTTGGTCATGTTTAGCATGAGAATCCAGCATTAGAACTAGATGCTTCACTCAATTCCATTGTTCATCGACATCTCAAAACTTTGGGAATTAAATGTGTGCATCTTATTTTAGCACAGTTAACGAAATATTAATATCTAGTAACTTTAAGATAAATATTGGCCAGTTCATTCATTAACCTTTGTACAAATGCACTTTAAAAAAAAAAAGAAATTAATACTTTTATACAGCAAGGATGCATTAAAGTGACAGTAAAACATTCATAATATAACCAAATATTTCTATTTCAAATAAATACTGTTCTTTTGAACTTCTTCAAGGAATCTCAAAAAATAAATATCACTGTTTCTGTCAAATTAAGCAGCACAACTGGTTTTGACTGGGGTAATGCCTGCTGAAAATTCAGCTTTGCCATCAAAGGAATATATTACTTTTTAAAATAGATTAAAATAGAAAAGTTACTTTAAATTTTATTTTAAAGTATTAAAGTATTAGTATATTTAAGTTGCAATAATATATCATATTTTACAGTGTTGTTGATCAAATAAATGCAGCTTTTGTGCGCAAGAGACTTTTTTTCAAAATTAAAAAAAAAAAATCATACTGACCCCAAATTTTGAATATTAAATTGTATCGTATTACCAGTGAAATGTCACTTTGCTTTTATAATAAAGATTTTGAAACCCCACTTGTCTAATTGAATTCCCAGGACCAGAACTAACTGTTGTAAATATTGTTGACAACCAGAAGGAACCTGAGATATATTTAAATATCTGAGCATTTTATTATGGGGACATCCTCTTTTCATTTACGCTCTTCCCTTCTCCTGTCTAGCCTCTGCAGTGATTAAACATTATTCATGAAACCCTAGTTAGTCATTTAAACATTTCATGGAGACTGTGACCCATCGTTTGGTTTGTTCCTCATTTTGAGCTCTGTTGGAGACATTGGATGGAAAAGGTGTAAGGCAGTTAGTAATATTTGATGTGGTTGGAGAAACCAGATCTGATTTGTAGGACACTAATAACCCCAGGAACCTTGATTCCACAGAGAATTCTAGATTGGTCCAGATTTTTTTCTAGAGTTGAATTGGAAGACTAAATAACTGTTGCAACAGAAATGATCTGTGTCAGCTAATAGGCAAATGTGTGCAGCGTCTCAATGTTCCTATCCACGCTTTTGACACATCAGGGGATTTTGGCTTTTATCTGGTTCCTCTTTTCTGGTTTCTGCTCCTTTAAACACAGTGGGACTCTTAGCTTTTAATGTATGTCACACAACCTCAAAGGAGACGTCAGAGGTTAACGCCTAAACAGAACGCAAGCTTGCTTATCTAATGGAACGAGAGTAAAAGTTTCTTCTGCGGGTTCCACTGAGGCTCATGGTTTATAACCGATTTGAAATTGTGTGGCATGTGTAATTTTTAAATTTCAGTTAAACTACTTTCTCCTATGCCTAGTTCATAGGAATTGACAACTAAAAGACAGTGGGTCTCATTCATTAACCATGCATACACAAATTTATGTGTGAATTTTGTATATAAACCTTTCCTGAACAAATCATGATTCACTTTGAATAACTCATACAAAAAATATATAAATGGTGATGGGTGGGTCGTTGGTCTCCAGATTCATTAACATTAAGATAAGGTTAAGAACAAATTCATGTGAATACACACGTTTTGTCAATTTGGCTGCAATAAGAATTATTCACATAATCATTATTGAATGAGGCCCACTGACTTCTGAAAAGTGTAAAAACTGTCATGGTTTAAACGCTTTGCTCTTTATTTGATCAGTCACTTTCTAGCTTAACAAATGGTGTTATTTTGTTTTTAGGGAAACCTGTTTGGAAATAATCATTATTATTTTTTAAATTTAATTTGGTGATCCTACTGGTCAAAAAATACACTCATTAAAGTAAATGGCTTTGGACCAACCACTACATTGAATCTACTGAGACTCAGAATCTTAAATTATAAATCTAAAACAAAGAATACAAGATTTGTTTTTTAATTATTATTTTTATTTATTTTTACATTTTTAATTTAAAGCAACTTTAGTAAACAAAATGTATGCAAACTCATGATATGCAGGAGTAGACCTTGGACAGGATGTGCTGTTAATAGGTTACAAGCAGGTGATAAAGTGCATACTCTCTTCCCAGTGTGATATCATATGGATGCATTAGTTTCATTTGAGTGAATTGTTTGCTAAAGCTCACCATCGATTTGTCCTAAAACCCTTCTCTGGATTTGTGTTTATCAGTTATCAGTTTATCAGTGATCTTTTAAGATGGCGCCGACGCTGATGGCTGCCTCCGTGGCGTGCTCCGCAGTTGTTTATATGTTTTTGTTAGTTTGTCCTGTCTTTAGTTATATCCCTGCAATCAGTTTCACCAGAGATGAATTGCTGGACATTCGGAAGTACACACCACCCGATATTTCACCGGTTTTCGACTATTCGGATGTTTTGCTGGACATTGTTGTCGGGGGAGCTGTGGCGCTGATTAATCGCTTCAGGACGCGCAGACGGGGGAAGCGAGCCGGCGCGCATCTTGAAGCTCAGACAGCGCGGATTCAGAACTCCGTTGCTGAGCATCCATCTGGCGAACCTCCGCTCTCTACCCAACAAAACAGATGAACTCCTTCTGCTCTCCCGGACAAATAAGGATTTTTCTAACTCTGCTGCTCTGTGTTTCACGGAAACCTGGCTGAAAGACGCCTTGAACTGTTGCCGTCTGGTCGACGCTACAGAGCTCTGAGCACCAGAACGGCCAGACACAGGAACAGTTTCTTCCCTCAGGCAATCCATCTCATGAACACTTGACAATAACTGTGGAACACACACTATTTTTCACTCATACACTTAATTTATCTAACACTCATACTCAGCCTACACCTCAATTTGCACATAATATACAGTACCTGTACATAAAAAAAATAAAACTGTCTATTGTAATATACCTGCACACACAATTGTCAATTTATATATTTTTATTCCTTATTTACTTGTTCTATTTTTATTTTTATTATCTGTGTTTTTTGTTCTGTCACTGTCATTCTGTTACACTGTGGAAACTTCTGTCACGAAAACAAATTCCTCGTATGTGTAAACATACCTGGCAATAAAGCTCATTCTGATTCTGATTCTAATGCTCTTGTTGTTTTTCTTCACTTGACTGACCATATTGAGGTTTGTGCTGATGATAACTGTGTATTACTCACTCCTTCCTGAAAATGTGTGGGGACCCTCCCCAACAGTGGGCCATGGCCAAGAATGGTAATACACACCTCTGCAGCATTTGAATACAGCACGGTAATTTCCAACCACACGTGCATTTCTCTCTCCACAGGGAGCAAGACACCTGATCTAAGCTCTCACAGCGGAAAGAGAAACCAGACCTTACTACAAGACAAAAATAGATTGAAACAAAAAACCCAGACAATAATTCCTTCACTTTTTCCCCCATTTCTATCATCAACCCACCTATTCTTTTCATTTTTTCACATTAGGTATAAAACGTTGAGCCTCTGACTTCACCTGAATTCATGCGCCCATTCAAAGAACTGTTTGTAAATGTACTGTATATTATTACAGCAAATACTAGAGCTGCTGTCCATGCATTTAGTTTAGGTTGTGTGACTGCAAAAGTGGTTGATGATTATACAAAAGCATTTTCTTTTCAAAGTCTTTTTAAAGTCTTTGGTTGCTTTTCAGATCTGTTGTAGCTGTTTTCTCTTAGTTTGTGTATTTAACCTGATTATTTAAGTGTGATGATTCATTCACTGAATCATACTCGTATTGTTTAATAGTACGTAATAAGTTTCTGTATCTCGCTGCCGAGTAAAAGACAAACCGCAAATAGAACGGAAATTAATCTAACATGAGATGGGCGTTGCTGTCAGAGTTTTGTTTTTGATCAGATGACTCTGATTTAACTCTGTGGTAATCAGCTGCTTTGCCGGGCTCCATTTGGAAGCTGACTGTGATTCCAGCTGACGGACATGGGACGTCATGTGAGCACTGTGTGCTAACATGTGTGATGTGCGGTTGCGGCACTTCTCGGGTACGTCATTGCTGGAAGCCAGCTATAGATTCTCACACAGTCCCAAAATGGAATTATGGAAGCAGAGCACTCTGCTGGATCGGCCGTCGCTGGATGTGACACGACAGGTGTTCGTCCCAACATGGCGTCCAACATGGGAAAAAATGCCAAACGTGAAAGTGCTATAATGCTGTAGCCCTCTGCAATGATCAGGTCACCAGGCTTTGGATTGTGACAGGCTCCATCTGGCCCTGGTCATGTCCTTATATTGCTCAAGATGACCGTGTGCGCAGAAAGGTTATAGCAGAATTTGAATGATGATCCTTTACAAACTTGAAAAGTTTGTAAACTTGCACATTTGCATTATGACTCAAATAGGGTTTCTTAAACTATGATCTGTCCTGTGACAGACAGACTTGAATCAATTATGCTTCAATTCAAGGAAAACGTGTGTGGAAATTGATCAAACTTCAATTCAAAACTTCCTTTTTTTTCCCCACCCAATTTTAATTAAATTGGTGCTACAGTAGCTGGGTTTTTTCCATTTCATTTATCAAATGTATTTTAATAATAATAATGATAATAATAATAATAAATAAAGCATGAATATACCGGTAACTATTTATAATAATAATAAAATGACAATATAAGAAACTATTCTTATTCTATAATGTTAAATGTATTTATATTTTTTTATTTTATTATTATTATTATTATTATTATTATTATTATTATTATTATTATTATTATTATTATTATTATTATTAATAATAATATTAATATGGAAGCCACAGCCATATCACCCTGCAGCCCAAGACTGGTTGCCCACTGAAGCTAAGCAGGGTTGAGCCTGGTCAGTACCTGGATGGGAGACCTCCTGGAAAAACTAGGTTGCTGCTGGAAGAGGTATTAGTGAGGCCAGTAGGGGGTGCTCACCCTGTGGTCTGTGTGGGTCCTAACGCCCCAGTATAGTGATGGGGACACTATACTTTCAAAAAAGCACTGTCCTTCGGATGAGACGTTAAACTGAGGTCCTGACTCTCTGTGGTCATTAAAAATCCCATGGCACTTCTCGTAAAGAGTAGGTGTGTAACCCTGGTGTCCTAGCCAAATTGCCACCACTGGACCTTGTCTATCATGGCCTCCTAATAATCCCCATCCACTTGATTGACTCTATGACTCTCTCTCCTCTCCACCTGTAGCTGGTGTGTGGTGAGCGCACAGGCGCCGTTGTCCTGTGGCTGCCGTCGCATCATCCAAGTGGATGCTGCATGCTGGTGGTGGTTGAGGAGAGACCCCCCCCACATGATTGTAAAGCGCTTTGGGTGTACAGCAATACACAATATATAATGCATCATTCATTCATTCATTCATTACTGGTGCTTGTATGATCTCATCTGGATTAAGACTGCTTACTAAAAACAATAAATATCTAGTATTAAGAGTGTAGTACTCTAACGTCCCTTTAACACATTTCACTACTGTTAAATGGGTAATAGGGATGATATGGCTAGCCTCAGTTGCCCTCACTACTGTGATGTTTTATCAATGAACAGACAGTGTTTTTTTATCAACGAGAGGAATGTTATAATGTGTGATTACGAGTTTAATCTGACATGGTGTAAAAGTGTTACAAAGAAATATAAGGGTGTGCCTGAGGCCAGTCCAGGTGAGCCTGGTCTCATGTGTCACTGTGTTCAGCTTTATTGACTTTCACTTGAAAAAATAGACAGCATAAGTGTATTGTTCATTTCACTGTGGCTTCCATATAATGGTCTGCAGTCAAATAATCGTTGTTGCCTTGTGGTTTTTGACCTGTGTGAACAAACACCATTTTTAAACATTAGGTTATTGTTACACTAAACCAAAGTGATGGTTAGTCAAAGCAAATAAGGCGTCTGTTTACAATACATGGAGTGTATTTGCTGCTAATCTTTCCATAAGAAACTGTAGACATATGCTTGTCCAATCAGCATTATGCATTCAGTCTCCATTGTGTCATGGAAAACAGTGGGTATAGAAAAGAATCGCCCCCTTTAAAATAATCATATGTTGTTGCTTTGCAACCTGAAATGAAGACGGACACAGTTTGTTTTATCCAGCTGTATTTACTCAGTGCAACTTATAACATCCAAGTGAAAGATAAAACACCAACATGTCAGAAAAAAATAAAAATAAAAAAACAGAATCACTGAGTTGGAAAAAGGATCACCCCCTTCTAAAAATGACTTGTAAACTCAATCAGGTGTAGCGAATCACCTTCTCAATGAGTACGTTTACATGGACAACAATACTCAGATTTTAATACGATTAAGACAATACTCTGATTAAGAATCTACCATGTAAACATAGATTTTTTTTTATTACGAATTAAGATGTGGAGTATTCCTATTTTAGTCGCATTACTGAAGTGCAGAATAGACATGTAAACACCTTAATCATATTATTACCGTTGTGTAGGACTTTTCGCCGCATTTTGCGACAGGATACACACACGGCAATGCTCAACCGTTTGAGGGCAAATAAAAGAGCTTCAACACCCAGCCGTCGTCTGTATGCACGTACAAATAATTAACTGCACTTGAAGCTTTCTTAAAATTAAAAATGAAACACCCAAAACTGTACATGGCATCATCACGAAGACTAACTATATGTTTATACGTGAAATTCCGGAGGGGATGTCGGATGGCGTCACGTGGGGACATAATGACGTGTGCCATTAATCGAACTATGTACTATAACATGTAAAACGGGAACATGAAAGAAATATTCTAAAAGCAACTCATGTAAACACCATAATCATAATATTGGCTTATTTAGAATAAGGTAAATAATTAGATTACTGATGTCAACTGTGATCAGCTGTGGTCATTTTGATTAGCTCAGCATGAAAAGAGCTGTCCTGGAGCGTTTCAGTCCTTGGTAGTGCAACTGAAGCAAACAATCAATTATGGGTGGCAAGGTACTGTCAAAAGATCTCCGGGATATAGTTGTGGACAGGCACAAGTCAGGAGATGGATACAAAAAAAATTCAAAAGCTTTATCAATGCCTAGAAGCACAGTGAAGTCTATTATAAAGAAGTGGAAGATATTTGGTACATTACAGACCCTCCCTGGATCGGGATGTCGCTCCAAACCGGATGAAAGAGCTAGGAGGAAACTGATCAGAGAGGCTACCAAGATCAAGAGGCCTACAGCAACTCTGAAGCAGTTGTAGGAACAAATGACAAAGAGTGGTCATTGTGTGCATGTGACAACAATATCACAAATGTATGAGGCACATTTTTCTTCTCAACAGCATGCTGCTTGCCCTCGTGAGACAGGGGAATTAAGTGTCCTAGAGAGGCTGTTCTAGCCCTGTTGCTTTGAGGGGCCTCTGAGCTTTTTCCCCTGGCTGTTCGTGCAGCTGCGGCAATAAAACCTCCGCCGTCAGCAGCTGATAGTGATCTGTGTTTGTAGTGCAGCATCTGCATAATCAGTATGTATGTCTGAGTTCTCAGGGTAAGCAAGTTCTCTTATTCATACGTGGAGTTTCTCTGGTTTTACCTCACCCACATAGACTTGGTCGGGCCTGGCACACCTCCAAAACTACTCTGGCCACCTTGGAGCTGGTTTGGATTCTGTGTGTGTCATACCTGAAGAATGCCATATCTGCAGTAATTGTTCATGCTTGAATGAAATTCCGGTTGGGCTCACTGGGGCTCTTATTTAAATTTTTTTTGTGTTAGAGGCTGAAATGGCCTTGTTAAAGCTCACTTTTGCTATTTTTTTAAATATTTTTTTTATGTGGCACTACAGCATCTCTTTATGTGTTTCCTGACTCAACAGTATTGATCACATAGGGTTTATGCAAGGTCATTTATGTTCCTAAATTTATTGACTGCAAAATCAATGCATATTATGCATACCGGACAAAAATGTAGGGTTGCTCTGTATTGTAAGTCTGTATTTATTTTATCAAAAGTAGTAATTTGTGAAATAATATATTAAAATAACTGTTTTATATTTTAACATATTTTACATTTTAAAATGCAATTTATTTCCGTGATGACTGCTGAATTTTCAGCAGTCATTACTCCAGTCTTCAGTGTCACATGATCCTTCGGAAATCATTCTGATATGCTGATTTATTATCAATGTCGGAAACAGCTACTTAATAATTTTTTGGAACCTGTGATACTTTTTTTTCAGGATTCTTTGATTAATGAAAAGTTAAAAAGAATAGCATTTTTTAAAATATAAATATTTTATAACAATATACACTACCGTTCAAAAGTTTCTTTCTTTTTTCAAAGAAACACTTTTATTCAACAAGGATGTGTTAAATTGATAAAAAAAAGTGATAGTAAAAACTTATATTATTAGAAAAGACTTCTATTTTGAATAAATGCTGTTATTTTAAACTTTTTATTCATCAATGAATCTTGACAAAAAGTATCACAGGTTCCAAAAAAAAACAATTATTTATAAATAGCACAACTGTTTATATATGTATAAACCGTATATGTGTAACATATGTTTCTTTTCATTTCTTTTTTTTGCGATCAATGTAAATACATCTGAGCTCTTACGTTCTATTAGGCAACATTCTGATGCACAATTTCATCATCTTGGACAATGTGTTTTCCTTATTTACATTGGAAATATGTTAAGTAGTTGAGTCAAGTTTGCGGAGTTGCTGGGTTTTGCATTTTTTTCTTGAGTTTAGCTTCATTTACTATTACCACGTCTGTATAAAATCTGAATGTTGCGTACGATAGTTGTCCTGATCATCTGATAACTTTTCCTACATTTACAGAATCTTAACAGTAGGCTGTTGATTCAGCTGGGTCATTTGGATATTGCGGTTTGATTTGCTTATTGCCAGTGTTGAGGTCAAAGTGTTTCGTAAACACTGCTTAATTGCTGTGAATGTTATGAGATCACAGAATTGTCATGGCTTGCCTTTTCAAACCGCCTGCACAACAACTTTTATTGAAAAAATCCTCAGCACATGGTTTGCAAGTCTTGACAGGGCTTCTATTTTGAATAAATGCTGTTATTTTAAACTTTTTATTCATCAATGAATCTTGACAAAAAGTATCACAGGTTCCAAAAAAAAACAATTATTTATAAATAGCACAACTGTTTATATATGTATAAACCGTATATGTGTAACATATGTTTCTTTTCATTTCTTTTTTTTGCGATCAATGTAAATACATCTGAGCTCTTACGTTCTATTAGGCAACATTCTGATGCACAATTTCATCATCTTGGACCATGTGTTTTCCTTATTTACATTGGAAATATGTTAAGTAGTTGAGTCAAGTTTGCGGAGTTGCTGGGTTTTGCATTTTTTTTCTTGAGTTTAGCTTCATTTACTATTACCACGTCTGTATAAAATCTGAATGTTGCGTACGATAGTTGTCCTGATCATCTGATAACTTTTCCTACATTTACAGAATCTTAACAGTAGGCTGTTGATTCAGCTGGGTCATTTGGATATTGCGGTTTGATTTGCTTATTGCCAGTGTTGAGGTCAAAGTGTTTCGTAAACACTGCTTAATTGCTGTGAATGTTATGAGATCACAGAATTGTCATGGCTTGCCTTTTCAAACCGCCTGCACAACAACTTTTATTGAAAAAATCCTCAGCACATGGTTTGCAAGTCTTGACAGGGAAAGCCGTTTAAATTACCATCTCTTTGTATCCCTCACCATGATAAATTATGCAGGAGGAGGATTCACAGTTCTGAGCATCGCAGGGTAATTACCTTCTAAACAAGCTCACAAATGGAGCAATTACAATATTTCAGGTTCCATAGGGAGGCATTTACATTGGTAATCAAAAGAACAGCAGTTCTGGTAAACACAAATGCTGTGAATCGTTATTTAAATATTCAGATCCGGTCCCTCTCTCCAATCCCCAATTGTCCCCCTGAGCTAGATGAAACAGCTGACCTATTTGTCAATGACCCCTTACTAGAAAACAACATGTACCCCTAGCATTGAATCCGGGAAGACAGGATTTTCATGGCTTTGTGAGGATAAGTGTGACGTTCTCCAATTTCATGCTGTTATTCAACAGCTGGTGGATCGATGCCAGCTTTACATGCGTCACGTGTAGCTGCAGTCACCTGACCTGAGTGGCGGCAATGTTGGCAGCGATTGCCTGAAGACTGACTGACATTTAACTGAAGAATAACTGTCTGGCCAAATCATCTGCATGTGCCTTATAGGAACAATAGGTCCTCTGTATGTTCTGTTTGCTTAGAATAAACTGTTAGTCACATGAGCGTTTTCATGTTTAGCAGGGTGTTTTTTTCATGCTTCAGGCTCTTGAAAGCAGCTTGTAGATGGTCCTGTTGATAGTCCATAGTTATTTCTACAGATTGACAACCAATGGTAACACTTCATTTCAAGGACCAATTTTCACTAATAACTAGTTGCTTACTAGCATGCATATTGGCTGTTTATTAGTACGTATAAAGCACATATTAATGCCTTGTTCTGCATAACTATATTTTTTAGATCCCTTAATCATACCCCATACCTAAACTTAACAACTTCCTTACTAACTATTAATAAGCAGTTTATTAGGAGTTTATTGGGGGAAAACTCTTAGTTAATAGTGAATGTGTTACCCAAACTATTATGCCAAATAAAATACAACTATGTAATACCGCTAATTGTAAAAGTGTTAACTGTTTTCTTCGGGCTGTGTTTATAGCTTGTTGGCCTGAACTTCGTGTTGGTTTGACCCCTGTTAAAGAATGAAAGAGATGTTTGACTCTCTGCAGCATTGCAACAAATTCCTCGAGATCAGTACAGACTGACAGTAAACTCTTACAAATATTTCAGCTCTCATCTGGTTTGTTTATGCATCTACTGTAGCAACCAGAATGTATTTACAAACAGATTTTCTGTGATCAGAATTATTATTGTACTATTTGCCAGAGAATTAATATTCTGTGTAAGTTTATCAGTATTATCTTGATATTAGTCATTGGTTGGTTTGTACTTTTTGTTAAAGGGAATTTCACTTTGCTAATTTATCAGATTATAAAAACGTCAGAGAGACTTGGTAAAACGCAAATATGCTGCCTTTGATCTTGAGAACATGTATGCTGCAGCATGGCCTTGTTTGAGCAGACAGGTGAACACTACAGTTCAAACGTTTGGGTCAGTAAGGTGTTTTTTGTTGTTGTTTTTTTGTTTATATTAGGGCTGCACGATAAATCGCATGCGATATTTAACGCGCATCTTATCAGTAAAGCCGGTTCTGTAATCAGCGGTAAATCTCCATCACCTGTGGGCTTTCACATTGAGCAGCATTAGCGATTCAGCTGATTTCCATTTTGTTGATTGATTTCCAACAATAGTGTAGTGTGAAGTACAAAAGTCTGAGACCACCGAAAATCTGGCAATTAAAATGTAATTTAAACAGAAATATATAGAAATGTGTTTTGCAAAATGTAAAACAAACAAAAAACTTTCAAAAACTCAAAAGTAATTCTGAAATTTAAACATCACAATTTAGGCATCAGAGCAAAAGATTAAAGATTAACCTTTAAGTGAGAGTTAGCCTACATAATAGCAAAGGTAATCATAAATGTAAAAACTGTGGAAATGTGTGGACAATTAAATATTCAATATCAAAATATAAAAATATCGAACAATACTGATAAATTACATATACAAACATACACACATGCATGTTATGTTACCAATATTTTTTGGCAGCCCTAATTGTTTTTATTTATTATTTATTTAGAAAATAGCAAAAATGAAAACAAAAGCACACACATCAACCTCAAATGGGTGCTCGACTAAAAAACAAGTAGAAAAAAATGAAATATAAAGTCGGCAATGCTCGAAGCGTCACACGCTATGCAAACGTTTTTAAAATACATTTTTGATACTTTTGGAGCTTTGGTGTTGCGTAATTTATATAATTTTTTTTCTAAATTAGAAAATAGCACAATAAAAGTATTTTTACTGTGGTATCAGTAAAATGACTCTCTCAATGTCTCAGTATGTTTTTGTAAGCTCCTAAAGACCTGTACCAGTTATTTGGTTTCTTCCTATCATGTTGGTGCATTTTATTTTTATTTTTTGAGAGAGACAGAAAGAAACATTTTGTGTAGAGAGTGACATGTTCGATTATCTTATTAGTGCACTGATAATGGGCTGAACATGCCCTGTAATAATGGATTGCAGTGTCCTCAAAGAATGCCGGCTGAAATCAGACATGAAATGGACAGGAACCCTGGGAGATTTGTAAACGCCCTGATAGCAGCATAAAAGCACGATTGTCAATATGTGTCTTCAAACAGCAGTGTTGAGATTACGCTCACTTACACACAATCTAACATAATGTGCCAAACTTTCACCGTGGAGACATTGATGCGATGGGATCCAACCAGGCCCTTTGTGGAACAAACAACGAGTCTTAGTGCATGAGGGCTCTAAAAATACTTCTCCTGCTGTCCTAGTAACTCTTAGTATTAAACCCAGCCACTTTTGTGGCGTTGTCTGAGTGTGACCAAGATGCACTAGCAACTTTTTTGGATCCCGAATAAATACGTGTGATTTTACCAGTATGTACTGTCTTTCTCGGGAAGGTCTGTACTAACACTATTGGATTCCTAGCAGAGTAAAGCCCTATTGTGTTGGTCATGCTCCGACAAAATCCTGTAGTCAGGAAAGGATTACTGGGTTTAAAGGTCAACAAGAAAGGATGCACACAAAATAAAACAACACCATTCACTTAGGTTTTATTGTACCATGTGTTTTGTTAGTGAATCATTCTGATTAGATATTAGATAGACCATGTGTGTTGTCGTGTAAATGGTGAAAACCATTATGCATTTGCTGTGTTTTTGCTTGTTTTAAACTAGAATTAACCTAAAATTCTAAGTAATGGTTGTCATCTGTGCAGAGATGATTACATTTGTTTTAATTACATTTGTGTTTTGTGAGAGAAGCGATTTGATCAAACATGGCTGCATGTTGATAATAAAATCTGGTTCCGCTGGTGTAGTTTCCAAACCGACAGCACTGTTTAGCTACAGTTTTTTATTAAGAAACCTGAGCACTTAATAAGTGAGCTGCAGAATCCATTTTAATAATACCAATAAAACTTTATGGTTGAACTGTTTTGCTTTTTCTCATTGTGGCTTCACTTTTACAGAGAGTGAAGTAATACTGTTTTTGTAAACATAATGATAGTGACTTTTCATTATTAGGCAAGCACTCTTTGTGCTACAGACATGAATAATAGCATTCGTGATACAATTCATTGTTGGGATAGATGTGTTGATACTTTTCTGAGGGACCAAATTTAAAATTTTATGATAAAATGGGCAAAACATCCCATGCCCTTGTTGATTTTGGCCAGTATGTTCCATACAGATGTGTTTCTAGTACTTAAACACAGGTCCCCCATCAAACAAAGTATGCCCATATTTTGATACTCTGTTTAAAACTCTTTTGGTTATGAAGGGATTATTGTAGGTAAATATCCACCTCATCAAGTGCTCATTTTATTTATTTTAAAATATCCTGTTACCATTTGGTGTGAGAAACTGCTGCAAACAATTCAGTGCGAGAGTAAACTGTCCAAATTAATCAAACTGAATGGCAAACAATTTCAGACCTTCTTGCAAACCCGTTTAACCAATAAGTCAAGTCACCTTTATTTGTATAGCGCTTTATAAAATACTGGTTGTGTCAAAGCAGCTTTACGGAGTCAAACAGGAAAATAGTTTGTCAATGATGTAAGAAGACAATAACGGATTTTTCAGCTAAAGTCAGTTCATTGATGATTCAGTGATGTCATCATCCAGTTCAGTTCTCTTCCAATAGTGTCTGTGCAATCAGTCAAGCATCCCCAACTAAGCAAGCCAAAGGCGACAGTGGCAAGGAACCAAAACTCCATCGGTGACAGAAATGGAGAAAAAACCTTGGGAGAAACCAGGCTCAGGTGGGGGTCCAGTTCTCCTCTGGCCAGACGAAACCAGCATGGCGTGGTTTAATTCCAGGCTGCAACACAGGTGCAGAGGACTTGTCTGGTTCCTCTGGTCTTGTGCCGATGGTCGTCGAGGTGATGAGGTCTTCACAAGGGATCTGTCTCTGGGGCGCATCTAGTTGACGTGGTCTCCGCTGACATTCAGGGCTGTAGAGGTCGTCTCTAGGTGCTGATCCACCATCTGGACTGTATCTGGGTGACCTCGGAATAAGAATGAAAGAGACTAATATTAGTGTAGATGCCATTCTTCTTACGATGTAACAAGTACATCGGATGTTATGGGAAGTGTTCCCGGTTCCAGTTGACCTAATTAATGCAGCCTAACAATTCTTTAACGGATTTGAATCGACTTGACTTGACTTGAAACCGGAAGAGCAAAAGAATGATCCATTCACAAATCTGGCATTGCTACTTCAGATTCTAAAGAGCTGATAGAAAATGCATAACATGGCTGCTTAAATATTATCAGAGAAAATTATTCTCAGGTTGGTATCAATCCCATTGTCACTAGGATTTATAAGTAATATTTTACTGGGGCACAGCAGCATTTCACTGGGGCTCATGCCGCAGTAAAAAGGCTCTAGCATATCAGTTATTTTATTATTATTTAGTGCTGTCAATCGATTAAAATAAATAAATAATCACACATATTTTTCTGAAATTAATCGCGATTAATCCCACCTAACATTAAAGTTTTTAGATATACTTTTATATTGCAATAATTTCACAATCAATCTTCAAATTAATGTATAAACAACATAAAGACATTATATTTGTAGTATTTGTTTAATGGCATCTTTTTTATGACTGAAGGCAAGTATCACTGATACCAATACTACTGATGTCTCTATGAAATGTTTTTTTTTCTTCTAATATTTAACCATTGACTGTAGCCATTCAACATTACAGTATAATTAAGAGCTATCAATTTGAACATTTATTAGACTTTAAAAAATAAAAACTTTTAATTTAAGTGAATTTAAAACAATCTCCATATAAAACCCATTATAATAAATGTCATATTTAGCTACCTGTGCCCTTCAGCAAGTAGGAAATATACAGAAATCGAATAAAGTTATCAAACACTAAATTTGAAATTAAATATAGATCACTCCTTAAAGCTACAAAAGTTATTGATTTTCTCTTTTTTTTTTTCTTTAACAGACATCACAGCAGCTGCGTTATTACGTTATTTTGGCTGCTATTACTTTAAGAGCTGCAGCTGTTGAACATGATGCGGATCTGACACGCATCGTATTTTTTCACAACTCTTGACCTTTTCTGACTCGCTTGAATATTATATGATATTAGGGATGTAACGATTACCGGTTTTACGATAAATCATGATAAAATGCCCTGACGGTTAGTATTATCGTTTAAAATGTAATTATCATCAAATAATGTTTGATTATTGTGATTTTGAAAACTTGCGGTAAATCCTGTCCAGCTAGCATCAGTCTGACGCACGGTTCCAGTTGACCTAATTAATGCAGCCTAACAATTCTTTAACGGATTTGAATCGACTTGACTTGACTTGAAACCGGAAGAGCAAAAGAATGATCCATTCACAAATCTGGCATTGCTACTTCAGATTCTAAAGAGCTGATAGAAAATGCATAACATGGCTGCTTAAATATTATCAGAGAAAATTATTCTCAGGTTGGTATCAATCCCATTGACACTAGGATTTATAAGTAATATTTTACTGGGGCACAGCAGTATTTCACTGGGGCTCATGCCGCAGTAAAAAGGCTCTAGCATATCAGTTATTTTATTATTATTTAGTGCTGTCAATCGATTAAAATAAATAAATAATCACACATTTTTTTCTGAAATTAATCGCGATTAATCCCACCTAACATTAAAGTTTTTAGATATACTTTTATATTGCAATAATTTCACAATCAATCTTCAAATTAATGTATAAACAACATAAAGACATCACTAGGATTTATAAGTAATATTTTACTGGGGCACAGCAGCATTTCACTGGGGCTCATGCCGCAGTAAAAAGGCTCTAGCATATCAGTTATTTTATTATTATTTAGTGCTGTCAATCGATTAAAATAAATAAATAATCACACATATTTTTCTGAAATTAATCGCGATTAATCCCACCTAACATTAAAGTTTTTAGATATACTTTTATATTGCAATAATTTCACAATCAATCTTCAAATTAATGTATAAACAACATAAAGACATTATATTTGTAGTATTTGTTTAATGGCATCTTTTTTATGACTGAAGGCAAGTATCACTGATACCAATACTACTGATGTCTCTATGAAATGTTTTTTTTTCTTCTAATATTTAACCATTGACTGTAGCCATTCAACATTACAGTATAATTAAGAGCTATCAATTTGAACATTTATTAGACTTTAAAAAATAAAAACTTTTAATTTAAGTGAATTTAAAACAATCTCCATATAAAACCCATTATAATAAATGTCATATTTAGCTA